GGTTCTATATCAGCGAAAATGATATTGGATAAGCGTTAAAATAAAACTTCAAGTTAAATCTTAGGCATAAAAGAAAAAAAGATATTTTATTGATAAAAATTACAATTTAAAATGTATTATTTTAGATAAAATCCATTTGTCTTTCTTGTTTCATAAATATATTGGTTCTTTTACAGCTAATTCACCCGTGTAAATGTAATAAAAGTGTATTGATAAATGACAATAATCCGATACGATGAGACGGCGAAATATTGGGAACTACCCGCGTTTTCAAAATCATCGAAAAGCGTTTCCAACCGCCGTATAAAAACCATAGATAATAAAGAAATGGATTGGTCTATCGCATAAGAATTATTGTAAGGGAGGCGATGTCCCCCGGGGGGGGGAGGGGGGCGGCGGTAAATCAAGACGATTTATCATTCATCACTAGGTACATAGATAAAACGTTTCACTTTATGCAACTTGGAGTAACTGTACCCGTCCCTCTTGAAACACTGATAGGCTATGGACAGCCTTTCCGTATCCGGTATCTATGATACAAACGTGGACATGCCTACCACTACAGCCGGTCGTTCCAATAATAACGACACGAGCACAAGATAGATCTGTCTTAAATCGTGGATACGAGCCGGACAATCTAAAATACGAGCGTTTCTGTAAAGAAATTGCCTATGCGATTCCGAAACAATTCTGTGTTTGGGACATCGCTCGTTTGCAACCTTTTCTCAGCACACGGCCGTGACGGACTCTGGTCGCCACACTCCCCATTTGTTACCTAACTATAGAACAGAAATTCGATTTTGAAATCAAACCTTACACAAATTTATAGGCACAAATAGTCCAAATATTTTTGGAGGAGGGGGGTTATGTTGATTATACGTATACTTAGTGTTTACTCGATGAGCGCTTTATTTCGGGGAGCTTCCTCCGAGGGTCCCTCCCCTGTTTTTATGCCGAACTCACAAAATTAATACGATGGGGGTACTTCGTTGTGGTTTAATTTCTCGTACATCGGTTTATCGTGTTTGTTTTAAAAATATTCGACGGAGAAAATTTCGCAGGGGTGGCAATCGCCTCTCCTGCCTCCCCCGTGCGCACGCTCGTGGCCCCAGTGCTGTCTACAGCCCAGGTAGCCTAGCCTTAAATCCGTAAACAATAATTATCATAACGTGTTCCGCACAACAGCTTCGGATTCTTGTAATGATGTCGCAAATTCGATCGTTTAGACACGCCGAACGCAGTGTAATACAAAATACGTACGAATAATAATACCGCCACGAAAATACGAAAAACGTATAATGCAATACTGTAATAAATCGTAACATTATAAGATAGTGGCCACCGTCTTTGGCCGACATTTGCGGGCGTCCCGATTAAATCGCGTAAAACCCAATGTTATTAAAAAAAAAAAAAAAAAATTTTATATTTATGTATTAATACCGCGAGTCTCTGCGGTTATTTTTAACTGGATTACATTAGAAAAAATTAAACGAAACGGCGGAAACCGTTATCGCGTACAGTTTTATCTCTCGTTTCCCCTACCCCCCCCCCCCCTCCGTTTCGAGTGTCGCACGGACTAAAACGGGAATTGAAATCAATCATCAGGCGACTCGCTTGCGAATGGAACGCTACGACGGCGAAGTCCGTTTGTCGCTTTTTCGACCGGCGCGCGGTTCTACGGCAGAAAAGTCCGCGGCGATAAACGGCCATTGTTGGTTTGTTATCGCGTCGTCATTATCTAATGATCAATTCTATTTTGGAACACACTTGGACAATCCGTGGTCAGCGCAGGTGCAACAATTTAAGCGGGCGCGCTCATTCCACATCTCATTTACTCGTTATAACATAATACACAGACGTATTGGCTTTTTTCGGAATTCGTTTTTTAGAACGTTTAAGAGACAAGCAGCTCGACAATTTTACATGTATGTTATTTTTTCGTCACTTTTTTTTTTTTTTTTTTTAAACTTTTGTTAAAAATTCCACAAATGGATGGAATTTTTATGTTGAAATCGTTGATCTCCGTCAGCCCATTGACGGTTTGACCTACAGTTGTAAAGATTGCGTGGGGGGAGAGTACATTGAAGAACGCCACCACATAAACGATGCTCCACTACTCTCCTACTCCTCGTCCGACACCGAAATGCATTTAAACCAATACTATACATCTGCATGTGGAATTCGTAATAATTACTGTGCATTGTAATGTGGGTTGTTTGTCGTTTGAAAATCGAAAATACCTAGTGGTTTTACCACCCCAAAAATTGTATTCGCCTAATATTGGCGGTTTCAGACTAGGGCTGAGCGATTATTTCCCTCCCCCCTCCCAACAATCGATTATTTTGCATTGTTTTCGATTGTAATAGACTCATCGAATGGTGAGCGGACTATTTTTTTTCCCTCATCGATAAATCGAACAACCGAAATAATCCTTTTGTTTTGTTGCTCTCGTGCCAAACCACAGTGGGGGCCTCGGCGGAACGACCGGCGCGGCAGGATAATTTTTTTTACACAATACTCGTAGAACGCCTAATTTGAGTGATTTCAAACAAATGCTGGCCAGCAACGTTTCTGTGCGAAGTTTCTGTTCGGTTATTCGTGGGGTTTTTTTTTTTCGTTTTTTCCCAAGTCGCCGGCGGATCGTCCGCCTCAATGAACGACAATCCAAGTGTGCGTGTCTAATCTTTCGGATTTCGTTTTTTATTCGGAAGGCGACGTGGACAACCGATAAGGTATTTAAATCTATTTTTAGAATCTGAAAACCCGCAGAATGTTTATTTTTTATTTTTTCTCTATTGGACATGGTCATCGCGAAACCGGCGGTAGGGTTTTTCGTCATAACGTTCCACGTGCCACGCGATGTGATTGTATGGCGAAACCTTTTTTCTCCGTGTTTTTATTTACAACGAACACCGAAATACGTTATGAACGCGTTACGCGCAGTCGAAATAGGCGCAGTCCAGAGGAAACGTAACGTTTTACCGGCCTCACCACAGCGACGCACGAATTATTTGCAACACGGCGCGTTATTCCCGCGCACCCTCCGACCGTCCGAGCATTTCCGTCTCGGACATTCGCGCATTTCTTTTGTGGTAGACCGTGGAAACTCTTAGCCGCGTAAATCGCGGAAAACATCGCGCGAAATCTAGAAATTTAAAAGTGGCCGTAAAATCCTATCAACGCCACAGAACCGCTCGGGGGGTTTTTTTTTTTTTTTTTATTATTCTCTTTCGAATCGTCGCGGCGTCGATGATAATATCCGCCTGACCGAGGCATCGCGACCGCCAGCAACGACAATTGTCGTCTCGGCATTCGTTTCGATCGTTATTGTTGTCTGGTCCCGCACGCCCGTGCCCGCATCCGTGACGAACGCGGCAACGGCAAGGCGATAATTGTACGGATTACGAGTGTCCCCGGACGACTTTACGTTTCGCCCGTTGGAATCGAGTGGCGTGGCCGGCGCGCGCGGACCTGGTGCCCGCTCTTCACCGGAAAACGAACGCAATTTTAAAAAAACCGACCGTTTTCCGCCGATAGTCTTCACCGTTCAAACGCGGTTCCGACACCGGCCCACCCACAAAACGCGTTACTCACCGCGCCTCCGTTCGGAATATTGTCGCCTACCGGGTGTAATATCGTCGACTGCGCCGTTTACGGACTGCGGTGTTCGTTTTCACGTTAAAAAACCAACAGCCCGTGCGAATCGCACGGCAATTTGTTATTATGTAGCTCGTGCGTCACGCATATGTCGTGTGTTTGTCGTCAATTGTCGATCCGGATTGATCCGGGCGCCCCCCCCCCAAGCACAGCAGGCGCTAAAATCGTTTTCAAACGATCACCGCGCTCACTAATCACAAAGCGACAACTGAATAACTCGAGAATTTACGCGGCGGCGGCGGGGGGGAGGGAGGAGTGCGAATCGAATATTATAATCAGTGCGAGTTGCGTAACGCGCACAGGTGAGCCCGCGATTTATTTTCCATAACAGCTTTCGTTATTTTCACGGCGAAACGTTATTATTATTATTATTATTTTTTCTGCATACTACGGGTGACGTATTGTGCGTGCGATTTTTATCGCAAAGTTTATCATCTCTAACTTAACTTTACACTCTGACCTTAAAATCAAAACGGTTCATGAAAAAGCAGTCGCTTTTTACGAACGTTTCCATTCCAAACTTCCTTTCCATATCAACCCACTCATCTCAAATCTGTCCTCCCTCACAATTCCTGGAAACTCCCCCCCCCCAGGAGGCTTAGAAGAGAATGGTGCCGTGATCTTCTTAATAACTAATAAACAATAACTCAAGTAAGGGCAGTGTTACCACTGGGTAGCTCCTCCCATCATTCAATCATGTTATTACCATCTATCATCACATATTCTTATTATTCCTCAGGAATAGATTGTATATTATAAAAATATAAAATAAAAAAAAAAAAAAAAATCGCAAAGTTTATCGAACGTGAACCGTTGCGGGGCGGCGATAGGACAATTATTCATTATTCATAGGTGCGAAACAGCACCGTGGCGTGCGTTCGAATTCGAAAATAACCGACGAACCGGCGGCGGCGCCGCAGCGTATCGGTGTGCGCGCCATCATTGGACGTCGCGTAACGTTCGTTTCGAGCAATTCAAAATTCAACGAGAATAATCGATTGAAATCGGTAATAGCACCCGCCGGGGAAGCGAAAATGTCCGCGGGTCCGCGCCTCGTGTGCCGAACGTGAAACATTACGAAACATTTTGTGGGCATGTCCCGCATGTAATGCACGTTAATTGTTATTTTAGAATTTAATGAAAACACCCGTATCGGCTTCTCGACAATGGAACCGACTGCGGCCGTGCCACCAACGCAGTGTAAGAAAGGTGGGGGGCGGGGAGTCGGGCGACCGGAGCGCCATCTCACCGTACGGACGGTCACGTCCGCGTCGGCCACGTTCGTCGACCGTCGACGCCGTCGACGCTGTCGCCGCCACCTCCGCCGCAGCTACGGCGTTATTATTCGTTACAACTTACGAACCCAACACACTCGTGCCGTCCCGTTTAAACAAACGACCGCCGTCGCTGTGTTTTCCGCCGCGTCCACGACTGTCCGAAATCCGAATCGCACGCCACCCGCCGGTGCAATCGCTCTGTTCCGTTTACACATTCGCTCGTGAGCTTTGTCCGTTCCGCACGGAGGAGTCTGTTGTCGCGCGCCCTCCCGCAACCTTCGAGCGCCATCGAAATCTGCCATTCCGGCGTCTGCCGCGACGACACCGACCGCCGCGTTTTATTGTTATTCTCGTAACAGTGTACCTAACGGTCGTATTCCAATACCGGACCGCCAACAGGCCAGCGTTCTGTTGCAATTCCGCCGCGAGTCCAGACCGTCACCGTCTTACCGTCACCGTCTTACCGTCACCGTCTTACCGTCCGACATCATGTCCGACATATCCGACCCAATCCCAGAGTATCAAACCACGCAGGTATTATTTACTGTTGTTGTTGTTATTATTGTTGCCCGCGGGCTTACGCGGCGCGTTTCGTTCGTTTAGCCCGCCAACCGATCGCACCATTGTGTCCGTTACGGCGGACGCGTTCTCGCGCGCGTTTTTAACGGCCCCCGGGGCCCTCTCCCGCACCCCGGTCCCGAATCCGACGTTCAGTCGACGTTTGCGCCGTCCCTGACGGCCACACGCGCGGTAACGTCGTGTCCGTCTCCGCGAAAACGTGCGCAATATTGTTTTGTTTCGCTAGCGCGCCCGCACGCGCAGGGATTGCCGTCTCGTGAGCGTTCCGTTCACCTAGCCGCCGCCGTTTCGCTCGCAATCGTCGCGCGCGTCGGTTACGGGTAAAAATTACAATACGGTAAACACGGTCTCCGCCGATTGTTACGATTATTGTACGCGGTGCAACACTGCGCGCCCGCCATCGCCTCGTCGCTTCGCGCCCATTTTACCAGTCTCCCGCCAAAAAACTATCGTTCTCCACGTACTCGTTTTTATTTCATTTCGATTAAAGTTTCCGGCCGTAACGTTATTTTACAGCACTGCGTTAAAACAATGGCGGCGGGAACAACGATTTGTGCCACGAGCGATTTTTTTTTTTTCTAAATGCGCGTTTATCGTATTCGATAGTCTTCAAAAAAAAAAAAAAAAAAATTACGTTCGTAGATCTACTGTTAATTAGTCTAATGTTTTTCAATTTGAAATGTCCGCCTATAATTTGTTTTTACGGTTTAAGTAAAACAAAATAATTAATACCCGTTGATCGTTTTGATATCATTGAAACAAAATTGTACATTTCAATTCAGAATAAAATTAATTTGATCATTTCGAAAAATACAAATTTCAAAGTAACTACGATTGAATCATATCGATACTATTATATGTATATTTTTTAGCCAGGTGAAGTGCGAGGAAAACGAAGCTCAGGAAAGCGTACAAAGGCTATTGATGTAATTTCTGCGGAGGCTGAACTCATTACTAAGGTATTGAGCCAATTAATCATAACAATAAAAACTTTAATTGTTCAATTATTTTTTACATTAGCAATCATTCTCTTAAAATGTGCTTACTATAATGTTTTAATTTTTCTTTAGGGATTGAACAACGTTGAGGATGTCGATGGCAGAAGAACGACCAGATCTTCTACTAGAGGTTCAACTGCAGCGTCAAAATTAAAAAGTGAACCTCCGGCAAAAAAAGGAAAAAAATCACCAGCTGCAAAAGGTAGTTGTCGAAAAATAAATTATACGGCCAGTAGAAAAAAAAACTTAATTTTTAAAATGTTATAATTAAATTACCTTATTGTTTTCTTTTTTTTTTTAGGTGGTAGACGAGGAAGACCAAAGGTAGCAACTAAAGAAGAGAATGAAGATGCTGGATCAGGAGAAGAAAACGGCATTACTGAAAATGACGCAGATTCTAAAGCAGATAAGGGTGGAAGTTCAACAGAAGCAGATTCAGAAGTAGATTCCCAGAGTGATGAAAAAGTTGAAAATGGAAATTCTTCGACTGAAGAAGAGAAAAATGTCGAAGAGGTAACATATTACACTTATATTAACTGTTAAAACTGTTATTTGTAAAATATATATGTTTTTGTTATAGGGTGTAGATTCAGCAGACGAATCTGAAAAGCCTGATGCAGTAAAAGAGGAAAAAAAAGATTCCTCAATCCCATAAGAAATGAATCAAAATGCTAACAATTTTAGTGTTTAGTGTGTTAAGCAGGATCCATTTTACTTAAATTTTTTCTGATAGTGATATCATGATTTTGGTACAAGTTTAATTTTTAATTTAGTAATTACACATTTTCTTTTTCTTTTCTTTTTCCTAAAGTTTAAACCTTGCCTTTCCTGGAGATTGGCATAATGACTTGATACTTAACTTAATTTGTTCTTATCATGTATACATTACATACCAAATTATGTTACCATTATGTAGCTGTTAAAATTGACAGGTTTCTCGCTATGGTAATCGCCTCTTTGGTATTAAGAATACTAGTTCCCATAGTTTTTAATCCACTATAATATATTTACTCGTCTTAATAATATGTTAACACTAATAATTTTATGATATATACGTATGTATATCTAAAAAAAAAAATGGATAATTTGTCCAATACATTTTTATTATTATTATTTTTTTTTTTAAATAGTTTTATTTGTATTGACGGGGGAAAAAAAAGTATTTTTCATGTTTATATGAAGAAAATTTAAATTTATTTTGTACATCAAAAAAAAAGTTATACATTTCAAATATTTATTCCAATAAAAAATTAAAAGAGTTTAAAATTGTTAAAAAACATATTTTTTTCTCTATTGTTTATCATATTATTACGTGTATAGTGAAGTTTTTTTTTAATAATAATAGACAGACAATCAAATTTGTCTTTGTAATGTTTTAATAAGTATACATATAATTTATTCAGTGTTGTCTCTAATGTTAATATCGTAATCCAGACAAAATTGTTCTGTAGGCGCGATCTGTACAGAAAATAATATTGTTTAACAATATGCCTGAAATATTTACACATTCAATATTGTGAATTATAGTAATGCCTGATTATTGTATTTTCAAAAGTATTCCCGCCAACACGTGCATTAACATTTCAAGTACTGTAATAATGATAACTTTATTAAAACCGTACTATTCAATCTAATTTGCATTTTGTAGTTTTAAAATGATTATATATTATGCGCTAATAGGATGTAAAACACATGTGAATATGATAATATTTTAATATTATATTATTAAGTACTACACTTGTATTTTTACGTTACAATTCATCACGATATAACTAATAATAATTAAGTAATAATTTTACTCTATATTTGTCGAAAAGTTTTTGTTAACTTAAATAGTCCACACATTCTAATAATGTTTTTTTTTCGGTATGATGTAATTTGGTCTTTTTTTTTTTTTTTTTTTTTGTTTACTAGAGCCAAATATAGCATAAGTATTTTGTACGCACAAGAATATATTCTATAATTTCTCTTTCCATACGGTACTAAATAGTGTAATAATTTCAGATACCGAGTGAAATGAGGTACGTATATTTTCATGCACTTGTATAGGTTTAACATTTGGCTCTGGTTACTAATACCTTTCGTATTAATTAGGTTTAATTGCAGGACTTTTATATGAATGATTATATATTGTAATATAAAGTAAAATATATATATTACCTACAATATAATCAATAAAATATTGTAATTTGTAAGAATAAAATTAAAATTTTTAAGTATACGCATGTCGCAGTCATTATTTACCTAGGTATCAACAATGTATAATGGTGATATTCAAATCGGCAGTGCTTTAACTAACATGTTTTTGAACCCAAAATGTCGAGTGTGTCCAATTCCGGCGAGTTGTTAGAAAAAAACGTGTTCTCACGAAAAGGCGCGGAAAGCACAGTAACCCCGAGGTGATGAAAATGTTATTAAGTAAAGTATGTATCAAAATTAAACGCCGTATGTTATGGCACGGATGTAAGTTGTCGCCTTATAACTATTCTCGTGTAAAAAAACGATTATTATATTGATATTTATGATAAGATTTTGGTATCTTATATTATAATTTGCTACGTGATGAAAGAGAAATTTCGCGTCTTGTATATGCTCAACCGAATACTACCAAAGACTGGCATGTTTTCAAACAAATAATTGTCATAATTCAAGTTGTTATTTATTTGTCTTTAAATTATCATTAAAATTCTCTGGTAAAACTCGGTTATTATTAACCTATCGTACCATTGTTATTGACAGTGATAATAATAATTTGTGAAAAATAACCCGAAATAGCACTGTTTTCAAGGTGATTTTCATAAATCCAATGTTCGGCGTTAATATATTACTTGGATAGGGTACCACGCGTATACGGTGTTATCATACGTAGTAGGTATATAATGTATTATTTTGCAACGGTTTTTTTTTTTTTTTTTCTATGGAAATAAAAATGATTTGGCGCGCGCAATCGTGCTCCACCGGTTTTTTTGTAGACTCGTATTACGTTGTTTTACACAGGCGACGCTTGAAAACGTGAAACGAAAAACGTTGTTTAAAAACTCACAACCTGGTGTGCAAGTTGCACGGGTTGTACAATGCAGCTGATCAGAGGCGCCAGGGTTTGAAATCGTCGCGGCGGCTCGTTATTTTATTAGCGCATCGTGTACAGTCCTACCTAAATCTTGCCGTATAATTTTCTTATTTTTATTTTCCATAAAATGTTCGTTGAACAATATTATTAAATTATAATTGTTTGTTGTTCAGTATGTAATAACATTTTAATAGTATTATAGCATCGTAAAAAAAAAAAAAATCGAAGACAAAAATGTAAAAGACCGGTGTCCGTTAACCGAGAACCTGGTCGATTACCGAAATCCACGCTTTTTCTTTGCTATCAATAATATCGAAAAATACGTTTTTTTTTTTCTCAATTAATTTGTTACAAATAAAATTATAGTATTTTGAGGATGTACATTGATTTTTTTTTTATACAGGTACCTAATATGAGTACCCTAGGGGTCTGAAATTCGTCTTATCGAGCTCATGGGGGGCTGCGGTCCCAAAGCCCCCCTGTACACGGCGCCCATGCAACCTATACAGTATTGAATCCAGACAATTTTTCTGGAAGGGGGGACATTACTAAAATTATAGTATTGACTTTTTTCTTTTTTTTTTGCTTATCTGCTCTTTTACTGAAAATCAGTAAAATTTGTTTTTATTATTTAATTCACCCACGTTCAACAGGGGGGGAGGGCTATCGACCGTATACCCGGATTCAACACTGTACCCATACTAGCCAAATGATATACCATAGTACAGTATTACTACTACTCGTATCTATTAATACTTTTTCATTAGCGAATTCGTATATTTGTTATTGAACGCGAATAAATCTTCTTTTTTTTCTCTTTTTTTCTGCGTATTACCGGCGCGGGGAGCGAATCGGTGCGGCCCGTACGACGTTTCTGCACAATCTACACGCGCCCAGTCACACCGGACGAAACTTACATTTGCGTGTTCATTCGGTGATTACAGACGAAAATGTGTGCGCCGCACAAGACGTAGGACAGCGATACAATTGTTTCCAGTCGGTATATTAACAACAAAAATACAAAAATCTAAACGCGCGATGACACAAACGAGATTACACTGTTTGACCTTCGCAGACATACGGTTTTTGGTGACCGCGAACGGATAGGTATAGTGACCATGGTTACGTGCGGCCGAGCAATTGATTATCCGGACTGGTACGCTTTTTACATAACGAAAATTTGGAAAATACGAAAAATACAATAATTTAGAATATTATAAAAAAAAAAAAAAAAAAAACGGTTCGCTGAGATGAACACGGTCGTGGCACGGTTCGACAAACCGGAACGCGGGCGACTTATTTGCTGTTTACCGGTTCGTTCCGACGGCCTGTATTTTCGGATCGGACTTTCTCACCATAACCGCGTGGCCGTTGTTCAAAACCATCGTCCCGAGTTCGGCCACCGTGGCCATCTTTGCCGGATCCGAGAACCGGACGATACTAAAGTACCGTCCTTTTTTCTTCCGCTTACTGTGATACATGCGCACGTCCGCGATGACGTCGAACCGACAAAACGACTGGTATATTTCGTCGCGTTGGATGACCCTGGACAAACCGCCGACGTACAGCTCGACGTCGACCGGAACCCCGGCGTTATCGTCCCTCGAACCCCCGGCGCTGCGGGGGTTTACCGCGGCGGCGATTTCCGCGTCATTAGCCGCGCGTTCCGTTCCGGTTTCCTCCGGCCCGCCGGACCCGGCGACGACGACGGGCGCCGCAGCGGGTTCCGGCCATTCGGTTTGCGGCGTCAAACGTCTACGGCGGTCCGGTCGCGCAACGGATACCGTACCGGCGACGCGAGTGCCGTCCGCGGACACCGCGTTTTTCCCGTTTGTTTCGCTGCCGTCGCAAATGACTGTTGCGGCGAGAGCGTCGTGTGCACCGTCCCGGGTTTCCGCCTTATGTTTCCCCCGTCTCGTTTTGGATTTCCGCGGCGTTCCCTCGGACTTGACGGCGATCGCGAACGCGTCAACGCCGCCGCCGCCGCCGCCGCCGTCTGGTCTCGGACAATCACCGGCGGTACCGCGATGGTCCGATAACAGTTTCGGGACGGACGGCAACGGTCCCGGGTCCGGTTCGACGGGCGGCGTTTCGAAATCCGGTTCGAAACCGTTGTCGGCGGCCGTGCCGTCGGCGAACTTGAACACGGTGCCGACAATGGTGAACCTGTTCTCGGATGAGAGTAATGCGCGCGGAACGTATCTGATCACCGTGGACTGGACGAACTCGTGTGCGACACCGGTCCCGCGACGGCTCAGTTTGCACACCGTGAGAACCGCGAACCAGGGGGATATTCCCCCGGGCCGGGCGATTTTTATCGCGTCCACCGACAACACGTCTACGGCGCACTCGTGGTACTTCATGCGGACCGCGAATCTCGCGATTTCGCCGGCGCCGCGCAACTGGTACTCCGTTCCCCACCCGTGCCGCAAGAACAGGTATTTCGAATTGTGGTCGCAAAACCGTTCCAGGGGTTCCTCGTTCCCGGGCGCGGCGGCCGTCAACGCGTTGTAGTATCCGACCGCGAACTCTTTGCCAACGGTTTCCGCCGCGTGTCCGTCGTCCGCGCCAGTCGCGTTCATTGTTTTCGCCGTTTTTCCCGTTATTCCTGGTCCTGGAGATGAGATTTTACCGGTCGGGTTGTCGGTTTTTAAACCGTCGTCATCATCGCGTTTTACCTATGTGTCGTCGTCCGGCCAACGTGTTGGCGTTTAAGCGTAATATACGAATCCGAGGTAAACGGCAGTTTATCGGAAAATTGTTCTAATGTCGTGTGTTGGTCGGATTCGATTCGATTCGATTTGATTTTTTTTTTATATTACTTTGGTCGATTCGCCGTTAGTCGAAAAAATCACGTATAAACGTGACAAAAATAAATTGTCAAAAAAAAATAAAAAAAAATATCAAAAAATATTGTACGATTTCAAAATGTCAAGAGAATAAAAAAATCTATAAAACGCAGTATAATGGAGAACCGCAATAAAAAAAATACGAGTACCAAAAATCATACGAAAACGCGGAAAAACGATTAAAAGGACATAAAACCAAATGTAATGGCGAAATTGTAAAATATCACACAGAGACGCGGAACGCAATATGAGACACACGGAGCAATGGATTTATCGTGTGCGGAGACATAGAGTGGGAAACATGTACACAATCGGTTTACAATATTTTTTATTCATTGCGTGTATAACAAATCGGTTTGTGGTTCGTTATAATTGTTTTTAAATTGGTTTTTCCGTATTAAAATTTGTATTCGATTATATTGTAAACCATTTTTAAAATCGAACGTCGGCAGCGGCGGCCGTTCGGATGACGGACAGAGCGAGTACATACATATGTTTGCTTACAATAACGCGGTGACATTTCGCGGCGTTCGACGCCCCGTACTCGGCTCTCTCGGGTATCCCTACAGGCGCGTCTATCCCCGGAAAATAGGACGTTTCACTCCTACACATTTAAACGGGAGTCTTAGACGCGAAAGAGGATATACGCTTGAACCGCGGCACAGATTTAACGTCGTGTATTTAATATCCGATATTACCCGTGCGCGCATAGTGACGTCAGTGGCGCGGGACTGAATTATATCGTGGCCGCGTGACGACGTGAACGATAACTTATAACGCCCGCCGGCCGCCGGTTGCCCCTTGCAGGAGGCCGTTAAACCCCCACCCCCCACAAATGTCTTAAATTACAAAATAATTATTTTTCGCAAATCGTTTTGTCTATGCAGAATAGCGTTGACATTTAGTATTTTAATGCGTTGCATTGTTCAATACGCAAACTGATGTTACCGTGTTTGACTAGCGTAGAAATCGTTTGTATTATGATCGTCCGAAACCGGTATCGACAAAGATAGGTACTGCCGTTTCGGTTATTTATCTATATTTTCACCCGGGTCGTACATTTTTTCGCATCGATTGGTCAATCTGATTTTTTTCCTCAATTTCTATTATCCCTTTTAATTTGAAAAGTGATAAGTCTTTACACGGGAACGGTGTCGACTGGACTTTATAAACCGTTCATCGAGTACACGCAATGTCAACGAGTGTGACGCCGAGATGCATGCATATTAACATAAAAATGCGTGAGCGATGAACGTTTGATAGGGCCATCACCAGACACAATTTCGTCCGTTTTCTGCTTCTTTCTTCTTATTAGGTCTAATATAATAATAACGCGAACGGTAATTCGTCACCTGTAAGATGCTATACAAATCGATTAACATTTTTAAACAGATTTTTCCGAAGGCTTGAATTTTAGATTCCGAAGAATGTATTGGTTTTATAAAGATGTTTGTTTTTTTTATTTTATAGCGTTATTATTATTATTTTAACAGTATTTTGGCTATTTTTTTTTTTTCTATCCAGTCAATATACCGTATTGCAATCTCGTGTTTTTTTTTTTCTTTATCTAGTTCATATGTCGGTTATCGGCTATCACTCCCGAACACCGCGGTTTCGCATTATTATGCCGCGCAGCAAGCAAAACGTTCCGGGCGGCGTTTACAGCCACGAGTAGCGAGGTACACACCGCGGCCAACCGCATCGCCAAAACATCGCCCAGTGCACGGGCGACGTTTTGGCAGCGCGCGGGGCGTGCACGCGTCGCGCGCCGTCCCGACGTTATTTCCGTTCGCGACTGTCGGCCGCGGCGTCCGTCGGTACGTCGGCCGTGAAATCCGACCTCGAGTAATACTACGGTTTTTCACCGAAATAACGTCGCGCGGCGCGCCGTACGTTGTAACGGCAGTGGCAGTCGTCCTGGCGCCCGGCGGGGAGACGTAAAACGGACGGGCGGAGGGATGAGGGGGGAGGGGGCTCGTACAATTTTCGCACCCCCCGCGACACGCGAAACGGGAACGGCGCCCACTGCGGGCCCGCACTGTGCGTCGTGTGCGGCGTACCGCGCGTTAAAGTTTCGACGGTTTTTCGTCGCCACGCGTCGTATTATTAACCGATCAAATGCGACGTAAATGCGCGGCGGCGGCGGCGACGGCGAACAAATTAATAATATATTTACGGAGAACATATATTATTCGTATTTTTTTTTTTTTTTTTTCCCCCGCGGCACAGTAAAACAACGTACGATTTATTTCAATAATTCAGCAAACATATAGTAGCGTCGAAACCAGTGCACAATACAATGTTATACGGCCGGTCGTACGGCGTGCGGGAGACGTCGTTCCATTACGGAGGCGTGCGCGACGACGCGCGCATTCTGCGGCACCGGGACGGCCCCGCGGTTATTGTTAACTATTACAATACGACGCGCAAATAAAAGCTGTATTGTCATTGGGCTAGCCGTTATACATATACACGTACGTATATAGGACGTGTAGCTGGGTTATTCGAGAATAACATTGTCGGTTAAAAAACATAAATAAAAAAAAAAAATCATACGCGGGCGTAAACAAATAGCCTGTATATTATATTTATGCGGACATTGCGCGAACAACGGAATAAATCTCGGTTTTGGCGACGCCGCCGAACAATAACATTAGAGGTATACAGTACACACGGAAAACAGAAAAAAAAAAACTACCGTAAAACGTTAAAACGTAAAATACAAACGAAACACAATTATTCGGGTGGATATTGTATGGGCCATTTATGTGCGGGCGCGATAATATTTTGTCGTTGTTGTAATATTTATTATAAAACTATCAGTTATATATTACGCTCGTATAATATACGCGTTATAACAGAACGACATTGGGTGTACTATACAATATGTAATATTATTAGGGCGACGTACGAGAATATAATTATTATTGTTTTGATTAACATAATATGACACTAAATACGTTTATAAATAATAAAAAAAAAATAATTAAAAATAATAATGACGTGTTAAAAGCGAATTAATTATAAAATAGATTTAAACTAAGAAGAAAAAAAAAATATAATAATAATAATAAAACGACGGTTTTATAAAAATGTTTGATTATTATAATATAATACGTTTAATTGATTATAACTTTGTGTAAATGGCGTCTCCGTTGACGTATTTCGACCGCATTTCGTTCGTCGATAAAATCGTATTATTTTCTTTAAATGATGTTGTTGATGGCGTCCCTGAAAAACGAAGAAACCGCGATTATAATACAAATAATACGTTCCGACCGTCGTCGGTTTTCGTGCTGCGTTATTACCCGACTCGATTGCGATTCGCCGTGAACATCACAGAAGCATGTTAAAAAGCATGTTTAAAAGCAAAATGTTATTATTAGATTATTGTTAACGCAACACGAAGTTATCGTTATGGTTTGAAATTTGAGTGTATACATATTTGTTAGTTTTGTATGGGAGAGGGCCCCCCGGTTGGGCGAGTGGAACTGATGGAGAAACGGCGACGGACACGAATACGCGGAGGGCGAGAATTGGCGATCCTACAGGAGTGGGTCGAGAGAACACATTCGAGGCGGGAACACTAAACATTTACCGGTAGTTTAAGAACGAAAAAAAACAAAATAAAAATGTTTGATGTTTGAGAAAAAAAAAATGGAAAAGTCCATCCGAGTTTAACGTTGACGAGGTGGGTATTTGAGAGAACAATGCGGTCGACATGTTTCGTAAAACTTGTAATGCCATAAAAAAAGAAGAAACTGAGGTTTCCTTACTCATTACCTGTTCACGTAGGAATTTTAATCGTCCCTATTTTTATAAAATGTCGTCCAAAAAAAAAAAAAAACTCATCTATTTATAGATGACCTTTTAAATACATATGATTTTTCACGACCCCCCCCCTCCCCGGAAAAATGTCGAAAATCCGTCACTGGGACGGTCCGTGTATCATACGCGGTCTGATCAGTACAGCGGGGAAACGTTCAGAGACTTCAACGCCACGTTGTACGGGTCCCGCGACCACGTGGCAGAAAAACGTTTTTACCGGTGACGACGCAAATAACATCACAATAACATATATTATTATATTATAACATGTACGAAGTTTATTGATTTAAACGTTGTCGTCAAACATATAAAATAATAATAATAGTATCGATATATTATAGTTAGAGGTATACACAAGTCACGTAAAACAATCGATAATGAATAATATATTATACTATTATTGTAACAACCACGGATTACAGTATATTATAGTGCCGTATGTACGGTTATAGCATTTGGGTATGACACGTTATAGGTAAGTCGACATCGTAACAACACACGATACATTAACGAAACACAATATCGTAAGCATTATTTACGTTTAACAATATTATTTCATATATTTTTTTTTTTTTTTTTTATAACACATATAATAGGTATATATTATATTATTTACAAATACCGCGGTATTATAATATATTATACAAACGGCCACGTGCAGTATATAAAGCGCGGAAATATTACGCGGCGCGACAACTGTTGTTCTTTTTTTTTTTTTTTCTAGGAGCTATTCCACCGTCGTTACTCGAGCGAAAAAAAACGCGTTGTTCGTGAAAGTATCACAATACACAAGCGTTATAATATATTATGATATTAATGTTATTCTGTTGTGTGTGCGTAATGTCGTGTATTACTCTGTCGTCGGTGATGGTTAATATTGGATAACCATCGCCCGATACACGCGA